GACCGGTCCTCCGTCAATGCTCTGACTGCGACATGTTGCGTCTTTCATCCGTCTGCTCTTGTATAGCCGGAATATCGTGTAGGTCAGTATCCATTGTGCTGCAGTCAGTATCGATCGCGACAGGTCCTCCGTCAATGCTCTGACTGCGACATGTTGCGTCTTTCATCCGTCTGCTCTTGAGTAGCCGGAATATCGTGTAGGTCAGTATCCATTGTGCTGCAGTCAGTATCGATCGCGACAGGTCCTCCGTCAATGCTCTGACTGCGACATGTTGCGTCTTTCATCCGTTTACTCTTGATTAGCCGGAATATCGTGTAGGTCAGTATCCATTGTGCAGCAGTCAGTATCGATCGCGACAGGTCCTCCGTCAATGCTCTGACTGCGACATGTTGCGTCTTTCATCCGTCTGCTCTTGATTAGCCGGAATATCGTGTAGGTCAGTATCCATTGTGCTGCAGTCAGTATCGATCGCGACAGGTCCTCCGTTAATGCTCTGACTGCGACATGTTGCGTCTTTCATCCTTCTACTCTTGATTAGCCGGAATATCGTGTAGGTCAGTATCCATTGTGCAGCAGTCAGTATCGATCACGACAGGTCCTCCGTCAATGCTCTGACTGCGACATGTTGCGTCTTTCAACCTTCTGCTCTTGATTAGCCGGAATATCGTGTAGGTCAGTATCCATTGTGCAGCAGTCAGTATCGATCGCGACAGGTCTTCCACCAATGTTCTGACTGCGACATGTTGCGTCTTTCAGTCGTCTGCTCTTGATTAGCTGGAATATCGTGTAGGTCAGTATCCATTGTGCAGCAGTCAGTATCGATCATGACAGGTCCTCCGTCAATGCTCTGACTGCGACATGTTGCGTCTTTCAACCTTCTGCTCTTGATTAGCCGGAATATCGTGTAGGTCAGTATCCATTGTGCAGCAGTCAGTATCGATCGCGACAGGTCTTCCACCAATGTTCTGACTGCGACATGTTGCGTCTTTCAGTCGTCTGCTCTTGATTAGTCGGAATATCGTGTAGGTCAGTATCCATTGTGCAGCAGTCAGTATCGATCACGACAGGTCCTCCGTCAATGCTCTGACTGCGACATGTTGCGTCTTTCAACCTTCTGCTCTTGATTAGCCGGAATATCGTGTAGGTCAGTATCCATTGTGCAGCAGTCAGTATCGAACACGACAGGTCCTCCGTCAATGCTCTGACTGCGACATGTTGCGTCTTTCAACCTTCTGCTCTTGATTAGCCGGAATATCGTGTAGGTCAGTATCCATTGTGCAGCAGTCAGTATCGATCACGACAGGTCCTCCGTCAATGCTCTGACTGCGACATGTTGCGTCTTTCATCCGTCTGCTCTTGTATAGCCGGAATATCGTGTAGGTCAGTATCCATTGTGCAGCAGTCAGTATCGATCGCGACAGGTCCTCCGTCAATGCTCTGACTGCGACATGTTGCGTCTTTCAACCTTCTGCTCTTGTATAGCCGGAATATCGTGTAGGTCAGTATCCATTGTGCAGCAGTCAGTATCGATCACGACAGGTCCTCCGTCAATGCTCTGACTGCGACATGTTGCGTCTTTCAACCTTCTGCTCTTGATTAGCCGGAATATCGTGTAGGTCAGTATCCATTGTGCAGCAGTCAGTATCGATCACGACAGGTCCTCCGTCAATGCTCTGACTGCGACATGTTGCGTCTTTCAACCTTCTGCTCTTGTATAGCCGGAATATCGTGTAGGTCAGTATCCATTGTGCAGCAGTCAGTATCGATCGCGACAGGTCCTCCAATAATTATCCGAATGCGACAGGCTGCGACACAATACAGCTACTTGGTGGTGTTACGAGAAAGAAATGTACATTTTAATTCAGATTTGTTGTCAGTGCAACGAAATTACTAATTTTAATTCAAACACAACTGAAACAGTGATGTATTGGCTATATTTATTGTATATAGGGTAGACACTAAGCAACTCTAGGTAGTGTAATTGGTAATTATTCACAGTGCAACTGTAATTTGCAGTCGGTGCAACGTTTGGTGCAATGTAATTGCTAACTGCTCCTCTGTAATAGTCACCGTCTTCTCTGTGTACATTCTATACTTGCTTGATATTGTCAAATGTCTGTACATTAGTCAAAATAGTCAATATTGCGGTTTACACATTGCAACTGCAACTATTTACATTCTCTTTCAGTTTGTCTTTAAGAAAATAAATCTAGTAGGTATTAATCATTATTTAAACTAAAAAAAAAACCTCTATTAATAGTTATTTACACTAAATTGGTAAATGTTGTGTTGGGTATTTTATCCTCAGTTTTTTTGTAAACAATAGGGGTTTCATACATTTTCGCAGCAAGACTGCGGTAGTAACACAAAGTTCCGAGTAGAGTCGGCCGTTTACTGAGATATGTTTCGAATGGTCCAATTACATTAGCACAATCCTGATATACGTCTCTCCCAAAGTATCTTCCGTCCTGTAAAGAGGCAGTTGAGACGCACGACCAGGAGGTGCTGTAAACTGTTGCAACATTTATACTTCAACAAGCAACTGCAGCTAGGGATTTACTAATTGCTGTCTTATCCTAAAATGTGTCTCCTTTGTGACGAGTATAAATATAGTTTTTACCTCTCTCATAACGCTAAAACTTGTTTGTATAATCTTATATTTCAAAGTCCTATGCACTTTAGTGTAATTCGATTTTTGTCATTGCGACACGTGAGTTAATTTCTTCGCAAACCATCGTTAAATATAGGATTTTAAAATTTGATGAAACTGAAAATAATAGCATGTACAAACTTTTTATTGGTACAAAATGACCCTGTAAAGGTAGCTTAATTTCTCTATATAAGTATAAGTTATAGTGTGGCCGTTAGAGTTTGTATAGAACTGGTTGATTATTACTGATTGATTGAGGGTGTAAAACTATATTGAGCGTGCTGATTCTGCTACCAAATTAATTAATGAAGGTTGGGGGGGGGGGGGGGGGGGTCGGTGGGAAGAAGGTTGGGAAAGGTCGGTGGGGGAAGCCGTTCGCTTGCTCGCGGTGGGCTGACGAGTTCGCCATGCAGCCCTGCCACACGAAGCGCTGACACTATAAGAAATATAGCGTGCCGCTATGCGTCACAATAGCAAAGATTAGTACACTTTACATTTCAATAAATTTCTTTTCGGACAGACGATAGGCTCTCATTTGTTTAGTTAGAAATACATAGATGACTTTTGCGGATCTCGACTGAATATAAGCAATTACTGACAATAAGTGTTGAAACATGATGTATTTTGACTACACAACATTAATTTAATTATTCTCGAGTATTGATTTGCAATATATTGTTTTGACAGGATAATTCAAACCAATAGTGGAAAAGCTAACCAATGAAAATCAATTATAACTTTTACTTATTGCGCTATCTCAAACGTCAAAACATAATTTCTCTCCTCGTCTGGTATTTATAGATTATATCTGCCAACTATTCAAGCAAAGAAAGGGGCTTTCGTGTACTTCGATAGTTTATCAGCTACAAACCATTCATCTTTGACCCGAGGGAACTATAATCACCCAACACACGACACACAGAGAGTCTAAAGTGGTTTTGACCCGGAGTAGTTGGTATAATTCTCCAAACTGTGTCAAGTAGTTTATGTTGCGGTTCATTCAAAACAAACTTCAATCGTTACTCTAATACAAAACTGAGAGAGATTCCTTCAATCTACCGATACATTTAATTGTAAAATGATGAATTGTTAAAATGAATGGTATGATAGTGTTTAATTGTAATAATTAAATTAGATAATTACATGCCTATAGGGTTTGTACCGCTATCTTACGAACAAATTTCTAAATGCCAGTAGCTTGAATATGAACTAAAACATAATTATATACCAGGTAAAACGTTTCTGTTCTGATTATATTAAACACTTTAATGTATTCGGTTTTATTCGCATTCGTAAAACATTTTAAAATCCATTTTACAGCAAGAGCTTCATATGAAAGAGGTCGAACATGGTAATCAACACGTATTCACAACGTTGTTACAGGCTAAATGTGACGATTTATAGCACAATATCTGTTTCATCCGACGACCAACTCCAGCTGACATTGTGTGAACGACCTCTCGTGATGAAGACATAAATCTTTATGAACCGCTGTAGCGCCGGCTTAACGCATTAAATGTGTGTGTGCAAAATTTTGATTCGTTTTTTTATAGAAAATGAAGGGAAATGTTTCAAATAAATTTTGTTTAGCTGTGTAAGTATGATAAGACCTTGTTGTTATGATTTGAGGATGTGATCTTACTAATTCAAGTTTAATCAAGTCAATATGTAATGATAAGAGAGGAATCCTGCATTGAGAGATTTGAAGTTATTGGGATTTGTGCATCTGAAAACTAAGTATTAAGGTTTATAGTTTTCGTATTGGAAGGCTTTGAACTAATACGATATTACCCCCAAGGGTTGTACGTGTGTATTGTAGGAGCAATAGGCAATTATGCATAGCATCATAGAATAGACTGCATAGCATACATCGGACCGTAATTATTGAGGTCCATGACGCTAGATAGGGTCGTACGGTAATATATTGTCAAAGAAAATGTTCACTAAGACATTTAAAATAACTGGTTATAATTACACCCTCCCTAAAAGAACCGAACATGCTTCTAAAATTATGCACCAAAATTCCGATCGGGATTTTATTTGAACTAGTTTTATTAGATATGCAGCTTTTGCTTCCTTCGACCCTGAGAAAAATAACTCAATTCCCACTCTTAAACGTTCTAATAATTTCTAATTTTCATTCAGGAAACTCTATAATACCTATTAACAAAAACCAATTATGGTTCAAATCTTCTTCGTGACATCGCATTACTCAAATTCAGAGAAATCAAGAATGATATTTTAATACATATTTATACATCAGAAGTATGTACATTCTGCGTGCATACTATGATGACAATATGACTGATGATGGCAATATGTTTTATTTAAAATATTTGATTTCTTGCAGAATGTGCTGCGGGAGTTGGAACAGAAGAAGCCTCAGTTGGACGAGTTGGTTCACACGGCTGAGAACTTGAAGGCCGACTCCAACCGTCAGCAACTACATGGAAAAGGTATGTTAATTATACACTAAATGTAAAGTATTATTGAAGTAACGTTCACATACAAGAAGTTTGTTTTCATATCGACCTCAATTTTTATCTTATTCCAGGGTGTCTCTGATGAAATTCCCCAAAAAATAATCTGTTGACATTTTTGTTGGACTGTTTAACTCGTTTTCAACTTATTTCCGTATAATGTTTGAAATCGGTGCATACCTAATCTTAAAATTTATGTTAGTAAGCTTCATGTAGCCAAAAACATAAAAGACTTTAAAAAATATTTAAAACGTGTCGGTAGACACAAAGGTGCCACTTTCCATCTTTTATATGTATTTACCGTCTTGTGAGTAAACAGTATACGTATTTTTGTAATCCCAGGTAATTAAATAACGGGTACGATGCTGATCATAAAGTTAATTGGTTATTTATCTTTTCTCAAGTTGGTAACTTAAACCAAATGGTACATCACGAGTATTCAATATCCGAGGTTCTGGGTTCAAACCCGCCAAAATCCAATGGCTTTTAGCCCTCTTGGTCTAGCCTAAAGTAATGCTTAAACGGTCACCGGATACAGCCTAGCGGAAGTATCATCAGAGTATCCACGTTACTGTAGGTCCCTTAGTTGCCATTAGCTGTATGGGCTAACTACCAGCTGTGTCTAAGGAATATGTCGGCCTTAGTCACTAACAAGACTGCAATATCGCATCACTCATCCTACACTCATACTAGGCTTAAAATACTTACAATAGTATGGTTGCCATTTCAGATATAAGTATTAGCTATAAAGTATGAAGGAGACGACGCACGTTATAAACAACTCACTGACACGTGTCTGTCTATGTAACTAGTCCCGTGGGAGTGATTCTGGATCTGTACAGCGTTGTTCTTCAGATTATGAATCTGCATCTCTAGTCGCCATGGCAACTGTACAGTCCATCATTGTTAGTGTTAATATTGCTCGCTCTAACACGTACACTGTTTGCTAAAGCTTTTATACATTCGAACATGTAATGTGGGAAAATTGAATTCACTCTGAATTGTATTAGATTAAAGAAGAAAAACTCAGTAGCTGAAAAGAAAATTTAATTTCAATTCAATTTTGGGACCGAGATAGTGTTTTATTGTATCGTAGTTCGTGTTGAGTAGTTATTCCTCCAAACCACCACAAAACTGGCTATGTGGTTATAAAAACTTTATTCCAGTTGGGCAACTTAAAACAAATTATCCTGAGTTGCTGGAACGATGACCTCCGTAAAGGTAGTTGGTCGACTATTAAAGCTATAAACTGTGACCTGTCGCAGTACTACATGCAAATAATCATCGTTACCCTACAATAGTCGCACTATGTCTGGTGTAACTGCTACTGCTGCAACTGTTATACTAGGTTACTTCTTCTCGGTATTTATTCTTTTAGTTTTGTTTGCAGATTTTTGACGACTTTTATGTATGCCAAATGAATTTATGATGTCGTACTACATAAATTGATGGTAATGATGGAGGGGTCGTGTGATATAGAGGTCAGAGTTGGTTGAAATTCCTTCAATTATTGCTAATATTCTGATATACCACAGTTTAGGGGTTCGAAATCAACTTTACACTGTAGGAATCAGGGTTAAAAAACATAAGCCAAGTTCCTCAGACAATAAGGTAAGGAGACACATCTCCGTATATAATAAAACGATGGTAATCCACTAAAAATAATCTATTTACTTTGTAAAAGTAATTTCAGATTGGAAAGGTCAAGATTTATAAAATTATATAACCTTAGTATTATAAACACCAATAAAAGGTTTTCTTTATTGCTTTGGTGTGATGTTATCCGCATTATGATTTTGCTACCGCAAAGTATGTTTCTATATGCACTTGATTTTAAAACATAACTCATACGAGTTATTAAAACCCTACTTACAGTTATCATTTTTTAAGTGTAGGTGTTGCTTTAATTGGTATCCGTTAAATAAATTTTACCCAATTTTTACATGAGGTTTGACCACGTATAAATCTTCCTATTTTTTATGATTATTGCAATAATCAATTTTTATTCAAAAGTTCAATACAAGTGTATTGGCTATACAAGTACTATTGACTCGTTTATTTCCCATCAGAACATTGAAATACAATCCAGTGAAACATTTGTCTAAACAATTTATCATTTTACGATACATCACTTTACTTATACTGTTGTGTATATGATTTACAGTGTCGATTGTCGCTCGACATTTTGTTGGTATATAAATCTGTAAGGCAATACTAAGCTACAATGCAAGGCACCTCCGCCAGACGTTCAACACCTCTATATCCTGTCAGGATATAACCAACCTTGCTCGTGTCCTGTCTTTGATTTGAAACCTATAACTTAGCTCATTGTGTTTTGACGTTCAGTGTTCAATATCCACTATTTGTGAATTGTTTGGAATTTAACAGCTACGCGAGGGTGGTTTAGTTTTATCATTGAATCATATTATAATAAATCCATTAATAAATCTTATTGATAATTTAAACTCAATCTTTGCCAAACTCATCTCGTTCCTGCTCCCTGTCCATCGCTTGCTCCTCGAGAAAAGCTCGAGTACTGCGTAACTGCTTGTCCGCTGCCTCCACCTAAGAGTGTTGTTAACACTTAGGGTAATATCTATGTGACACTTACGGTGAGCCAGTAATATCTTTGTAATACTTACGGTGAACCAGTAATATCTATTTAACACTTACGGTGAACCAATAATATATATGTAACACTTACAGTGAACCAATAATATGTAACACTTACGGTGAACCAGTAATATCTATCTGTAACACTTACAGTGTAACACTTTCTACTTCAACCATTTTAGTTCAGTTAAATCAACTGTGTCGTGCTAAAACTTATCTGAAATGTTACTATAACAAACTAATGTATAGTTAAGGGTAATCTTCTTGTTACCGTGGCGACGAATCAATAATATCTGTGCAAAGTCTAACCTCAGGCCTTTTAAAAGTTGGGAAACCAGAGGCATGGCTCGATATCAAAAGGAAAACAGGCTTATAAATGCTTCTGTTTATCTTTGTGGAAAATTTCAGCTAATTTGGACAGTTAGATTTTGCTTGAAAGGCAGACAAATACACCAATTCTATAATTACTACTTGTACCCATGTTTCCACTCTAAATAGAAATATCGGTCGAGTAAAGATAGTTTAGAGATACATAATCGTCAAATCTTAACCATATACATTATACAAGAATTTATACATGATTGCGGGAAAAGAAGAGACGAGAACTATTTATTTAGAGTCGACTAGAAACTCGAACTTACCTAATTCTACCGTATACTCGTTACTAGTTTATAATATCCTCATTCTACAGCAGACTGAGTACGCTATTTCCAATTGTAAGTTTAATGAGAATGTAAAATTGCGTCTTGCAACAACAACACACAAGCGAGTATCGCATTTTAAGTATGTTTTCACTGTAAAAATGCTGAATTTAACTTAGTACTGAATTTAACCATACATCAAGATTTTTGCTGGTCTAAAGGTGATCTGAAACTGAATCCATCGAGACTAGATGTGCAAATCGCAACGCAACCCTTAAAGTTACTAAAATAGCAGAGTGTGAGCACAAGAATATTTTCGATATTAAAATTTCCAATAGGCCCATACATAGTTTTTTATCCAGACTGTATAAAATAACGAAATCTAAAGGTAAATATTATTTATACTAAAAAGACGGCGTTGATCGTGATTTATCCGGGCATTCCTCCCTTAAGTATAATCATTAAAAAGGGATTTGTCAAAGGCAGGATTACATCGTCTTTTGATAATCTCTTGTGGAAAACAAAACACGATCTTTTGAAAAGTCGACAAAGAACTAAAGTTAGGGAGGATTGATGATTTGGTTCTTAGAATCGGTTTTTCATCCATTCCATACGTATTAACTGTTATCTTGAATAAATATTTTTTCTTTGGACATGGTTAAAATTTAATTGATATTGTTTTTTATTTATTTGTATAATCAGCATACTTCTCTTTGAACACATTTTGGCTTCATTGTATTAATCTTTTACAACAGTCGTTAAAGGTTTTACAAAAAAATTGTCTTTTGTTTTTACAAGATGTAAAAGTGTATTAAATATGTTTTGTATTCTGTAGTACAGTTAGGACTGTTCCGGCTAGATGACAGTGTATGTTGATGATAAACTTGTAGATGTGTGTTGTCAGATAAGAGAGACTTGTCTCAGAGCTTATCAAGTATTCATCACGATAGTCAAAGGTATTACTGTGGTACAGCTAGGACTGTTTATGCTAGAGGTGGGTTTAATTGGTCCTGGAATAGTGTTACTTAGCCAATCATTACATTATTGTGAGGTAGAGATTCCGCCGAGGTATGCACTGCAGAATTATACTAGCAAACTCAAGGGTTTGTTGAGTTGTTGAATTGTTTATTTCGTTGGTTTAACCATCTCACCATTTGTAAAATATATGCATTGTATGTAGATTCGTATTCATATTAATTTACAGAATTGTAAAAAAGAAAGAACTACTAATATGAATGCAGTTTTGTCTTAAAAAGAAATGAATACTAAAAACACATGTTTTATGTTGCCAAATTTACAGTAGGCCGAGGTATAAAACTAATGTTAACTCAATAATCTTGAACAAACTTGATATCTTATCTGTTGTCACAAATTGTTTCTGGTAATTTAATATTGCCGCGTATAATAGGATGAGACACGTCATATTGCGTTGTCGTCAGACCATTGTATGAGCGAATCTCATCTTGGCCTCACAATGGAAACACGACCCTGCATTCAGTATAGGTCCCAGTGTGAGGTAGTTGTTAATACTAGTTTTGCATAATTCAATACGAGCTCGACCTTTCTGTTCTAGATTGAAAGGAAATCTATCCTAAAATAAATCATAGTAAAATACTGTATTGTATGTAAAAAAATGTTAAATGACTATGCATTTGCTATAGATTTAAATACATTTTTTAGTCAAATACGCTGCGTGCTACTTACCATAAGATCACCAACGAT